GTATAATATTATTTGCATGTAGACTGTGATAAGGTAAAGATATAACTTGTAAACCCCAAAGCCACCACTAAGTACATAAAACAAAGAGGTATAGCTAATAAGTCAATAATGGCTATGAAATGGATTCATAAAATTTCTCAATCTGAAAGAAGACTGAAAAGAAAAATGAAGGGACGAAAAACAGATGGAATAAATAGAAAAGAGAAAAATGATAGGTTTAAATTCGACATTACTGATAATTATATTAACAACTAAATACTTCCAGTTAAAGGCAGAAATTGTCGACTGAATAATAAAGTAAGCCCCTACAGTATGTCACCTACATGACACTTTAAAAATAAATGGGGGAGCCTGGGTGGCTCAGTTCATTAAGTGTCTGACTCTTGATTTTGGCTAAGGTCATGATCTCATGATTCGTGAGATCGAGTCCAGAGTCGGGCTCTGTACTGACAGCGCAGGGCCTGCTTGGGATTCTCTTTCTTCCTATTTCTCTGCTTCTCTCTTCCTCTCTCTCAAAATAAATAAATAAACTCAAAAAATAAAATAAAAATAAGGATGAACATAGATTTTAAAAAGTATAAGAATGGGGCGCCTGGGTGGCTTAGTCGGTTAAGCGTCCGACTTCCGCTTAGGTCATGATCTTGCGGTTCGTGGGTTCGAGCCCCGCGTCGGGCTCTGTGCTGACTGCCAGCTCAGAGCCTCGAGCCTGTTTCAGTCTGTGACTCCCTCTCTCTCTGACCCTCCCCTGCTCATGCTGTCTCTCTCTCTCTCTCTCCTAGAAATAAATAAAACATTTTTTAAAAAACTATAAGAATGGAGAAAGATATGCACATTCGAGTAATTTAAGTGGATATATTAATATCAAAGTACACTTCAGAAAAAGGAATAGGCCAAAGACAAAAAGAGACCTTACATATTGGAAAAGGGATTGATTCATCAGGAAGACATAATGCTAACTGTAAATGTACTCAATTACAGATTTTTAAAATAGCTGAAGCAGAAACTGACAGAACTGAAAAGACAAACCAGAAAATTTTAAAATTAGAAATTTCAATATTATATCAGCAAATAATAGAGCAAGTAGACTCTCTCCAAAAAAAGTCATACAAATAATAAGATTTAAATAATATTTATCCTAATTGTCAATTATAGAACAGTTGAAGACTTCATCACTCCTCTCTCAGTGATTGATAGAACATTTAGAGAATAGTAATTAGTTAAGATTTATAAGATACAGTAAAGATACAAAAATATTAAAGTGTCTTTCAAAACAGACACAGTAAATTTGACTGACTTGATATTTATAGATCATTCCACTCAACAAAAGCAGAATACATATTATTTTTGAGTGCACACAGAGTACTTACCAAGATAGACCATATTCATAGCCATAAAACAAGCTTCAGTACCTTTAAAAGGATTGAAATTATATAAAGTTGTTCCTTGATCACAGTGGAAATCACTAAAAATTAATAATAGGAATCTATATGAGAAAATCCTCAAATATTTGGAAACCAGGCACAACTGTGGTCAAATACCATGAGTCAAAGAAGAAATCACTAGGGAAATTAGAAAATATTTTTGAACTAATTGAAAAAGAACACCTCACATTTGCTAACATTAGCTAACACAGTGTTTAAAGAAAAGTGAATAACACTAAATGCTTATCCATGAAAAAAAGAAAAATTTCAAATCAGTGATCTAAGTTTAAGAAACTAGGAAAATAAGAGCAAGTTAAAGCTAAAATAACCTTTAGAAAGGAATAATGAAGAAGAGTAGATATTAATAAAATAGGAAATGAAAAAAAAGAGAATATGAATAAAACCCAAAGCTGCTTCTTTGAAAAAAATTAATACAGCTGATAAACCTCTAGCCCAGAGACGGCTAACATTTTCTATAAAGGGCCAGATAATAAATATTTTACACTTTGTGAGCCTTTCAATCTACCCAACTTGAAACTACTGAACTCTGCCATTATAGTATGAAAGCAGGTATAGACGATATATAAACATATGAGTGTGGCTCTACTCTAATACATTTTATTTACAAAAAAAAAAAAAAAAAGCTGTAAGACAGACCTAGTACAACAGTTAAAGTTTGCTCATCTTTACTCTAGCCAGACTGACTTGAGGAGAGACAGACAGACAGAACACAAATTACCAAAATCAGGAGTGAAAAAGGGACATCACTACAGCTTGTGCACACTCTGTGATCAGCCATTCACCCCGGAGCACTACCTACCTGCCCCACAACCCTGTCCACGCAGGCCAGAATGCAGAAATCACGTGCCTTCAGTGTTGACATCCATTTATTGAGGACTAATTTATGCTAACAGGCAAAACCGAGATCTCTGCCCTCCTGGACTTATCTTCTAATCAGGAAGATGGAGACTAAACAGTGTGTGGATTACTTTATATGCTAGAAGAATTGTGAGGCCAAGAGGAAAATAGGACAAGGGAAGGAGAGTGGGAGTGCTGGGAGTTTTAAATGATGTAAGATCCAGGAAGGCCTCATGGAGGAAGTAGCACTTGAACAATCCAAGCCAAGGAGAAGAATGTTCCAGGCAGAGGGAACAGCCAAGGCACAGGCTCTGAGGCAGAGCCATCCCTGGCACATTTGAGGAACAGCAAAGGCCAAAATGGCTAAAGCAGAGTGAAGAAAGGAGAGGCAAAGACAGAGATCAGACCGGACCAGGGAGGCCACAGTATAGAACCTTACGGTCTACGGTGCAGATTTGGGGTGGGAAGCCCAGTGGTAGAGGGGTTGTGAACACTGCAGGGATAAGCACCGTGAAAAAGACGAAAGACACCACCAAAAAATTAAAGTGCAATAGAGGAGTCACTCCATGACCCGGGCCTTTCAGGCCTAGCGTTAGGGAGGGGCTGGCAAGACTTCTCTTGCCTTCTCCTTGCACAAGGAAACGCATTCTAGAGAGCTGAGAACACCTACCTGCCCGGTCTCCATTCCTCCGCACGCCATCAGGATCACCGAGACAAGAAGGGTGAGGGGAGAAGGAGTGACTTGGGGATAGGGAGAACAAGGCCCAGGGAGGACTCCGAACGTCAGCTCCCCGTCCCCCGGAGCCAACCTTGACCCCAAACTCTCAGGCCAGGCGCCAGAAGTCTAGCAAGGTGTGAGGCAGGGGTCCTTGCGAGGCCGTGTAGGCCTGACTTCCGGTCTGTGCCCTGACAGAGGCGAAGTTCGCCACCCAGACCCTGCTGTCACCCCCACCATGCCCACCCTGTCCCCGACTCCCAGCCTGCCTCGCAGAAGCTGACTTCGATGCAGTCGCCGTCTCTCTCCTCCTGGAGCAGGGAGAGGACCATTCGCGTCTGGTCACCGGCCAGTGGGAGAGATGAGCAAAGTGCTTTGGGGTGACGGTGGCGTCAGGCCCCTGGCAGCCCCCTGGATGAAAGCCGGCAGGGGTGCAGCTGGGCGCACTCGCGAGCCGCTCAGGAGAGATGCCGCCGCGGCGCCGCCTCGGTGGCTCAGGTCGTCGCGCCTCCTGCTCTCGGTTGCAGCTCAGGTCCTGGCCTCCCAGGTTAGCGGGTTCCAGTGTGCTGGAGGCGGGCGCCGCCAGGGCCAGGGTCCCTGAAGCACGGGCGTGTCGGCGAGGGAGAGAGAGAGAGAGACAGAGAGAGAGACAGAGAGACAGAGAGCGAGCGCCCGGAGATTCCGAGCACCAGGCAGGCATCTCCGTCCTGTCGGTGTTGGTGTCTTTATTTAAACGTTCAACAACAGTATGAGGGCAGAGAAAAGGAATTTCTTACAATGAGAGGCCTTTTGTGATACCAATTGCAGAACTATCCCAGTCATGGTGAATTTACGACCAAGGAAATACCAGATGCTCTTAGTGAAAAACAGGATAACGTATCGGTTAAGTTGTATATACATCAGCTAGGAGTCATTCCGTCTGGCTCTCAAGAGGATGAATGTTTCTGAATTGGTTTGTTTTTGGAAACCAGCAAGGGGGCCCTGTATGTATCCGTCTTTGCACCTGGGTTTATGTTTTAATTACTCTTATCTGCCCTCATCCCAGCTGCCAGTGCACGGGAGGGTGTTTGTGGAGTGTAGGCCTTGAGGAAGGGACTGCCGTACATCACCAGTTGGTAACTATAAATTAGGTTCTTCTGACATGGGGCCGGGCTCCATTGTAACTCGTGTGTTCTTAACTCCCTTTATGATCTAAGCCTTGGGTCCGCAAGGCCCATAGGAAGAGCCTTTGACAGTCACCCACAGAGCTTTCAGCTAACCTCTCTTTTGTAAAGGCAGGAATATGCTTTTCCTTATGAGGTATCTGTACTCAGAATATGGGTCTGACACGGAATACTGTGAGGCCTGGGCAATCCCACGTGGCTTATTTCCAACACGGGCCAGTAGTAGCAGAAGGAGACCCCAGTTTTCCTTTCTCATGGCAGGAGCTGCAAACACTGCCATTTCCGTGCTGTGACTGCCACCCAGAGAGGCCGGTGGGGCTCCCACAGGCGGCAGCGCGGAGCCTGCTGGGGACTCTCTCTCTCTCTCTGTCCTTCCTCTGACGAAAGAGAGAAACGCAGCCTCTCAAGGGTCTGGGGCAGGGTGACGGCTGCTCTGGGAGCGAAGCGGGGTGGGCGGCGCGGCGCCCCTGGGGCTGCGGTGGGGGGAGGGGCGGGCGCGCGCCCCGGGGGGCTGCGGTGGGGTGAGTGGGGGTGCGGCGCCCCTGGGGCTGCGGTGGGGTGAGTGGGGGTGCGGCGCCCCTGGGGCTGCGGTGGGGGAGGGGCGGGCGCGGCGCCCCGGGGGCTCCTCCTGAAAGCCCCTGGCTCACGAGGCGGCACAGCTTTGGAGCGGGTTTTCCCGGCCGCCCGCCGGGCCGGGCGGCGCACACGGGCGCGGCCCTCCGTGTGGCGAAGCGGGCCTGGAGGTCCTGGTCGGGAGGCGCCCCAGCTGGGCCAGGGGAGGCAGGGGGGAAAGAGGGTCCAGATCAGAGTTCTGGGGCACAGAGTCGCGCCGTGGCTGTCAGCTCTCGCAGGGTCCCCCCGCCCGCCCGCCGAGGGCCCTCCGCTCAGCGTCCGGGCCGCGGCTCCGACGCAGAGGGCTGGCCGGCCCGGACGGGCGGCTGGACGCGGGGCGGCTGCGGAGGTCCCACCTCCGACCTCGCGACCCAGTGGAAGCGCCCGGAGGTCCGGAGCTCGCCGCGCAGGCCCGCGGGCTCCCGCTCCCCGCCGCGGCCGGGCGCCCGGTCCCCCGCGGCCGCCGGCGGCGGGACTGAGCGCGCGTGGGGCCTGTGGGTGACCCCGCGCCCTCCCGCGGCCGCTTCCCCTCGTTTGGAACCCGGACCCACGCCCGAGGCCAGGCTTCCTCCACGTGGATAGACGGCCATTCGTTCTCGCCGGGCCTCCGCTGTCGGACGGCCTCCCCGAGACGCAGACGGGGCTCCGAGCGGGAGTGGTGCTGCGGTCGTGAGGGGACGCTGTCGCCGAGAGCGCGCTGCCACCCCTGCGTCGAGGACCTCGAGTTGGGGGCGTCCCTAGCCGTGCGCTCCGGCGGGGCGGGGCCGAGAGAGGTCGCAGCAGGTTTCCGGGGGCGTGGGGGGGGTGACACCCGTGCTGTGAGAAAGGCCGAATGGAAATGGATGCTGCTGTATCTTTGTGTTTCCTGGGCTTCCTTTTTTCTGGGTCGGGCTGGGATCTGCTGGGGAAGCCAGGAATCAGTCTTAATTTAAGGATCTCAACCTGCATAAACCTGCCGGGAAACAGAACTGACCACGTAGAAGCGGGTTCCGGGAGGAAAGATGGTCTGAACGCTTTCAAAGAGCTACTTTTTCCTGTTCCCGCACCCTCACCTTCAGAAAATAGGCTGGAAAAAGCCAAAGGACCACTTGGTGACCCAGTCCCCGGGTAATCAAGGGGAGGCTGGAGAAAGCAGAGAGGGGCCTAGGGGTCCTGCCTGGGTAGGTGAGTTAGCCCACCCTTCACCGAAGTCATGGAAGGAATTTCTGGGGTGTCACTCGAGGGGGTATCTCCGGAGTCCAGTTTGAGGTCATTGAGGTTTCAAAGGGTAACCAACTGCGTGAGGTCTTTAAGTCATTGAGGGGTCAACAGGGTCATTGGTTCAGCTTGTGGATTTAATTCTTTTTAAAGTCTTTGGTCTTGTTCCAGCTATTCAATGGCCACCATGTCAGTGTGAAAGCAGCCATAGGCAACATGTAAAGGAATGAGTTAGTCTATGTTCCAATAAGACTATTTGTGGACACTGAAATTTTAATTTCATCTAATTTTCATAGGTCACAAAACACTCGTGTGTGTGTGTGTAGCCTGAGGCTGTGGTTTGCTAACCCAGGTTTAAGTGACAGAAATCAAAGTGGATGATCAGTTAAGGATGTTTCATTTATTGAGGGATTAGGTGGAGTTACTATGGACTCAGTGTTTATCAGTTTCTTTTTTTCATGTTTTATTTTATTTTTGGGAGAGAGATAGAGACAGCGTGAGCAGGGGAGGGTCAGAGAGAGAGGGAGTCACAGACTCGGAAGACAGGCTCCAGGCTCTGAGCTGGCTGTCAGCACAGAACCCGACGCGGGGCTCGAACCCACAAACCGTGAGATCATGACCTGAGCTGAAGTCGGACGCTCAACCGACTGAGCCGCCCAGGTGCCCCTATCAGTTTCAACTCTCAGAGTTCAAAGATGGTCAGTAGTGATAACAAGGATGGGCAATGAGAGTGAATTAATTGGAAGTCGGTGAGAGTTCCTTGGGGGTTCATGGGGCACTGTCAGTGGATGTTACTAGCAGTCACTGGAAGTCAGTGAGAGACAGTGAAAGTAGTTGAGGGGCTGTTGGGATGGGGACTAGTAGTTTAAGTAATTGAGAGGTCAAAAGAGGGAAGGTCATTGAGGGTCCTACTCAGGACACAGTAGTGGATGCCAGGGAAATCACTGAGATTTCCGGGATGGTCATCGGATTTTGGAGACTCAGGGAAGTGAGATACAGAAGTATCAGGAACTTTGAGAATATATGGATGTTCAGTGGAGGACTCATAGACACTCTTGAGTCCCTGAGTACTCACGGATGCTAATGGCAGCCATGAGGGACTAGTACATACCAGAGTAAATGAGGAAGAGTCACTGTGGGATCAGAAAAGGTCTTTTTGGACTCTGGTGTTTAGTGGATATCATTGGAGGTCAAAGGTGACTGGAAACTGGTGAGGGGTCATTGGGCCATCCATATCATCTATGGTGGTGAATGGGAGCCTGGGAGGCTGACCCAGAAGCTGGGGTCTGGCCAGCTGGGGATCTTGTCTGATTAGTGACTGAGGGTCTGTTTGTCCAGTGTGTGTTGCGGGGGGGGTGTATCTATCTGTCTACCTAACTTGACAGTCCGTCCATCCAGCTGGCTTGGTGGGGCTGTATGTTTATCCCTCTGAGGGACCGGCTTTCTCACAGGCTGGAGTCTGTCTTTACTGGCAGAAGTTAAGGCTGTAGAAGGTAAAGCTGAGGTTTGGCTGGCTAGTTGATTGGGTAGGTGGGTAACCCTCTGCTGGGGTAATGTCTGTCCATTTGTGGGGAAGGTATCTGTCCTTGAGGGATTTTTTTCTTTTAGTTGGTTGGGGTCATCTCCCAAATGGTTGGAGTTGTGTGGTGTCCATGTGTCTGACCACAAGTCTTTCTGGATGTCTGACTGGGTGTCTTCCCATCTGTGCAAGAATTATGTCAATTTGTCTGGTTGTCTCTCTGGGATTTTGTCCATCTAGAAGTCTGTCTATCCAGGGGTCTGTGTGTCTGTCTGTCTGCCTGGGGATCTTCCTATCTGGCTTGAAATCTTATGGTTTATGAATAGAAGTGGCGGTGGCTGTGGCCCACCTGCCATGCTTCAGCTGGACTGGGTGTCTGTCTTTCTGGCTGTGTATCCACCCCCACTCCCTCTCTCTCACTCCCCTCTCACTGTTGAACTTGCTGGGTGCGGAGGATGGGAAGACCCCCCGAGAGCTCCTTCAGCATTCCTGGCTGTCACCCCTCCCTTCTCCCAACTGCATGCCATGTTCTTACCACGGGATTTGCTGCTGCTAGTGGCCCTTTTGTTCATCTTCCTGGTTGCAGTCCCACAGAGGGGGAACAATTGGCACTGCCCCTGAGGATCCTGTTTACTGTGACACCCACATGCCAGTTTGCCAGCTCAGAGCGCTCACTGATTGGCCACTCAACAGAGCCGAGTGGCCTGGGTGCAGAGGGTGCTTGCATAGGTTTTCCTAGTGCTGTGAGGAACCCAGGCTGAGCTGATGTTGCAAAGGGGAAAAGTGTGACTTTACAATAGAGAAACGCAGTGGACATCATCTTAACCCAGGGAGTTTGTTGGGAGACACACTGAGACTATTGGTAATACTACTGTACAATCTCTGTCTCCCTTTTTTCATAGGCCAAAAAAGGGGAGAAAACATTTGAAAAAATCCTCCCACTGCTCCTGTGAAGAACCTGCAGGCTGGGTAGGCTGACCTGTTGGTCAATCCCGTGTGGCATTTAGCAAACAGGAAAAATGACACAGTCTCCTATAGGGAGGAGCAGCTTGTGCCCCCAGTGACTGGAGCTGACTGCCTCCAGCTTTGGTTAGTCTCCTTTAACTTTCCTCAGGGGTTCTGGATTTCAGGGTTCTGAATTGAGGGTCCCTCCCAGTCCCTTTATGGGGAAAAGAGCAACAGCTCAGAGCTAAGGCAACAGCCCAGGGAGAAAGCCACCTTACCCTTCCCCAGACCTGCTGCCAACCCCATGACCTCTCAAACTGCCCTGCTGTTCTGCTTTAGGGATGGAGGGGAAAGCCTCTTTCTCATCTTTAAAAACAGGACATCCTTAAAATGTTGATACCAACTTTTCCCCAAGCCAGCCCCACTTCTTCTAGGGCAGGGCCTGGTTATCCTTGTCACCTAGAGCGGTCTCCAGATGCTAGAATATGTCTGTGGAGGAAGTAAACTCAGCCCTGGGCCCTCTGCACTGACAGCTCTAGCTCCTGTGAGCTCTAGGCAAACAAATGCTGTAGCATCCTGTGGCTTTTGGTCAGGCTGCCCTGCATCCTTGGCTTTCAGTTTCTACACCCCACTGTAGCCTAGCCCACACACACCTAAGTGTGTGGCACTTTATTTTGAAAAGACCAACTGGCCATGTTCTGTTAGTCTTAGCCTGGCTGGGACCCTGTTTAGCTAAGGGCTCTTCTTTGGGTGCTGAGTGCAGAGCCCTTGGCATCACAATCAAAGGGAGGTATGGATCTGTCTCCAATGGCTTCTGCCACTCAGCTATAAAACCATAGAGAAGTTAATTGTACATCTATGTCTGGGTAAGTATTAGCATCTCTGGAAGGATTCCTGTAATGAGACCAAAAGCAAGGGCAGGGGGCACCTCATGCTGTTGCTGCTGTTGCTGGGTGTTCTGAAGTCCTTCCTAGCCAATGCACTGTGGCAAGTTGAAAAAAGGAGGGGTCTGTCAAAAATGCTGTAACTGACATAGGGCTTAATCAGCTAGAAAGTTCTAGAAAATCTTATGAAAAACCAAAAGGGCTTATAAGAAAATGTAATAAAGTGGGGAGCCTGGGTGGCTCAGTCGGTTAAGCGTCCAACTTTGGCTCAGGTCATGATCTCGTGGTTAGTGGGTTCAAGCCGTGCATCGGGTTCTGTGCTGACAGCACAGAGCCAGGAGCTGCTTCAGATTCTGTGTCCCCCTCTCTTTCTGCCCCTCCCCCACTCATGCTCTGTCTCTCTCTGTCTCAAAAAGAAATAAACTACAAAAACTAAAAAAGAAAAAAAGAAAATGTAATAAAGTATCTAGTTGAAATATAATACACACACACATCACACATATGCACACAAATCAATTTCCTATATATTAGCAAAAAATGAATTTGAAATTATAATGCAAGAAAGATTTCATATTTACTGAAAAGCAGGTACCAGGTTTGAAATATCTAGCGAATTAATAAAGCAATATTAATGTCTGCTAACATCAGAAAAAGATACCCACACATTATCAGCCTCCTAGTAAAAGAACACAAGCATTCTACCAACAGAATTTAAACCTGTACCTGACTGAACCTTTAGATCTAGATGTTAATGCAAAGGAAATATAAAGGCAGAGGAAAATATTAAATGACACAACAGGGACAAGATCAGACTGTGGAAACTACAAGACATATTTAAAATATTTGGAATAATTTTTTTTAGGTGTAATAATAGTATTATTATTATTATCTTTTAGACATCTATGCAGAAATATTCATGGATAAAATGACATGATGTCTAGGATTTGTTTAAAAATAAACAAGTGGAGTAGATATAGGGAGTAGGTGGGGCTACAAAGGAAACCAGACTGGGCAACATGGAGGGGGGTTACTGTATGGTCCTCTC